GAAACCTGCTTATAGTCAGCTAAAATGAAACTGAAACAAAAAGTTTATAAATAAATAAATAAATAATAAAATCAGGCTCTCCACTAATTTTTTTTTTCTCACCTGTTTAACTAAACTGCATTAAAACCTACCTTAGATTTTAAAAGTGTATTTTCTTTTGGAGGGGAGGTAGCCCCAACTGAACATCATCAGAACAGAAAGAAAATGCTACAGTCACCTTTTTCCACACCATTTTGTAATTAGCACACCCTCCAAAAGAAGGCAATGGGAACAGAGCGGTCCTAGCATTGTGGCCTATCATATATTTTCCAGATTGTGGCCTCAGCCACTTTAACTAAGACAAGACATGCCATGCTTAGAATTATAAACTCAGTTTGCAAGTAATTCTTACTACTTCAGAAAAAGTAGTTACAAAAAATGGTGAAAATAATAGTACCTACATGTACACATGTAATATTTGGGAAGACGGAAATTTCCTTTGGAACAATACTTTAGTACTTTCCAAGCCAGTCCACAATGAGGACAACGTTATTTTTAAAAATCTTATTCCCTGTTGTTATTGCACATGACATATTACATTGTACTGTACAGTGTGTGGTGATGAGAAATTCCCTCCTTATTTAATTGTGATCCTTCAACGAATTTGAAAGGGAGTGCTTTATTTCCATTTCTTTAATTTACTAGTTCTTTAGCTGATGATTTTATTAACTCTTGTATTTGAGAACTGATGCTTAACAAAAAAAGAAGAAAAAAAGGCCCTTGGCAGTATTGTGAAGGCCTGGAACTGAATAATGCACTTTAATAATGAGGCATAGAGCTATGGCTTTTGCTGATGGCTGTGACCGGCTCTGTGACCTGATTATGTCGCAGAGTGTCAGCAGCTGAGACACTACAAAAGGGAGCGCATCCCATCAAATCTATCTCCATTGTAATCACTCGCACTGCTGAGAGGCTTGTTAGGAGCAGGGAATCCATCAGGCCTCATTAGCACCATTTACCATCAAGAAGCTCAAAGAGCAAATGTGTACCCTCTCATCAGAATAATGAGAACCAAAGTACTCCTATTATCTAATTGGATCAACAATGCCTCTCTCTCTATTTAGTTTCCTGAGCTACTTGTGGACTACAACTCTCAAAAATTAGTTATTTCTTGTTAATTGCCAGGGTGGAGCTGTGCTCAAGGTTTTTCATATACAGAAGGTTTTCACATCTAAAGAGCAAGTCATGGGCACTATGAAGCCTGAGTTCCTCCAAGGGCATTCTTAGATTGTACTGATGCCATCCCAATTAAATTCACTGTTCAATTAAAGTATGTACTGTACAATTACACCATGCTTACTTAGGTTTTTCTATTAACCTACCAGGAAATAGGATGTATTGCCCTCTCTAACCACAAGACAGTTCATAATGCCAACTCTTATCATGCTACATTTTTACTCTTTATGGTAAAATTTTATTTTGCAATTGCTGAATTAGGATGCATATTTCTCCTATTAGACAACTCCCATCCTTCCAAGAAAGAAACTAAACTTAGTCAGTACCCTTAGTTAAAATGTATTTGATCCTGTTGAAGTCAAGGGACTTACACAAATGCAACTGACGACAATGAAGCACTATGTTTTCACCAAGTAGGAAGCTGGCTTGCAGGAAGTATTTATGGAAACCAAAAGCATCAACCTTGCTTCCATATTTCTGCCATTCATCTCCTTACAAAGACCAAGAAAACAGCCAAAATACACATTTCATGTACTTAATAGACATAGTAAACCCCACTCAAAACGCCTAATATTTTCTTTCATTTGCAATAACAGAGCGAAAAAGAGAAATGTCTCGTTGTTACATCTCTGAAGAATCCAAGTGCAGCAATGGTACTAGGATCCTACTGCAAGGGCAGGCTGAAGCCAAGTGGGTAGACAGCTTCTCTTTGAAATCACTGTATCTATTGACAGCGTGGAATCTAGCAATTCTGCTACCCTGGCCTTTAAATTTAAGATATAAAACCCCAGTCCTGCAAGCGCTTCCTGGAAAGTGCTGAGGGCAAACAGAATGTAAGCAGTGTTACATGGGCCAATAGCTCTTCATAATATGCCTCTGAAAATGAAAACTTGATTTAGAGTCCTCTACCTGTACTGTATCAAATTAATCAGGTGATCTGATCATATTATTCCAATGGGTTAGATCTCTTTGCTACAGTGGTCTTGGAGAGCTCTGGTATTACAGTTCATATTGCCATCGAAAGCAAAAAAAAAAAAAAATTATCATACCATAATTGTGAATTCAATAAATCAATAACAAATATGCTATATAAATTATAGCATATATATTATATAATAATATATATAATTTTGTTACTCTGATTGTGAAAACTCCTAGATTATTGGGAATTAAGGCCATGCCATATGTCATTTAAAAGATCATTTCCCTAAATTTGCCATAGCATCTTGGATTTGACCTATAGCTTAATGTCTCCAGGGATTACTGATCACCATATATTTAGCTAGACAGATGGACATTTACAAGCCCATAATTTCTGTAACAGAAGCAGCGTATAATTACAAAGATTGCACATACAAACAGTCTGGTAAATCATCTAGCCTTATACTTGCAGGAGTGAATTTTGGGTGTCACACTTGTGATTCTTTGCAAGGGACAATTTTCAAAGGGCAGATTCTTAACATATGATGGAAACCTGGCTCCTTAATGAGTCCAAGCAGATCATTCAGAAATGGAGTATCCCAAATTACTCTTCACTTTTCTTGCTTAGTTGGTATAATTTTATTAATTTGCAGGGAATGTAATTTAATTTCTGGAATGTAGTTTAATTACACTGAATAGTCCTGTTTTGTAGACAGATAGCTTCAGAAGTGTGCTTTAAGAAATATGGGTTTATGCTGAATATTATAAAAATGGGTGTTATATTACACACTTATTATCAGTATTTCTGTATATTGTGGCGAGGTCTGCAGTACTGATTATAAACCAAGGAACATTTGTAAAAACAAGTAATAAAAAGACAGCTCTTATTTAAAAGAGCTAGGCAGACAGATAGATTCTGTAATTTTACCCAACAATAGGGAAGATTCTTCCTTTCTCTTCTCTTTCTCTGCAACCTGTGGAATTATTGGACTTTACATTATGTGTGGGATAAACAAGACTCAGCCTGAGGGAATCTATAGTTTCATTCAGTGATATCTTCACAGTAGTATTTTTTTTAAACATACAATGAATGGCCACACTTCACTTATGTTTTCTGTGGAGAACACGTAAAGGGAAAACTATCGAAAAAACTAGTCTGGGTTTATATCTTCAGCTCTTACAATGAACATCTTTGGTGCCAAGTGCCTCATGTGAGTGGTGATTGTGAACCATTTCTGGAGCACAGATAGAAACAAGCAGGCCTCTAGGTTAGAGCTGATCTGACTATGAGTTATAGGTATTATAACCAACTTTTCTTCCAAACCAATACCCCATCCCTCCAGAAATCTTAATAGGCTTTTGAGAGCCTCCATTTAAAGCTGGCTGCATAAAATGATCCTTTGATGAAAAGGGATTGAAACAAGGGTTAAAGTAGACATTGAAAGGTTATTGTAGAGGGCACATTGTTCATACAATCCTCCTTTAATATGTGTGGTGTGCACCTGCGATAAGATGATTCATTAGATAAGGCCTCACTTTGACAAGCTCCATCGTTCAACCCTCGGGGTAGTGATGGAACAATTCTGCACCCACCCAGTAAATATAACAAGGTCAGCATTTTTTTTTCCTGGGACTTGGATGGTGATAGTGAAGCTCAGGATGCATCTTTGTTTATGTGTTACGCTAAAAAAGGGGACGACGACACTCCTATAAAGGGTTGTCTTTTATTTTTTAATGGGCCAAAACAAAAAATGTCACCCCATCCCAATTAAATAACATGGTGATAGAAAATTAACAGGAAAAAACCTGCTCTTCACAGTAAGAGTAGAAACTAAACATTAGATTCACATATCATCCAAGCTGCATCATTTCAATACATGTTTACCAGGGCCTAACATCCACATAAGCACTGTGGATATCACTGTACGTGCAATTTGTAGCATTTAGAATAATGACATTCAAATTGCTCAGTTACCAGGTCCCGTCATAAGTTACACTGACAGATTTGTTGCAGTGACTTTATGTGAAACAAGTAGTTGTGTTAATTTTAGTCCTACTAAATGCAATAAAGAATGACAGTGGCCACAATCTGAAAGGTACTTAAGCATGCTGCATCAATGGAATTATTTATATATGTATGGGTTCAGATGCATATCTTTCTGCGTCATATTAAGACTGAAACTGAAATAGTTTGCAACAAATAAACAGCTCACAAATGCAGATAATGCACAATCTCTCTCTTAGACAAACCATAAGTTTCTGTTTGGAAAATTTTCTTTAAAGCAAAAGTTTCTCCCGAATTGCATTATAGACTGGCAGATTCATTGCAAATTACTTAACTTCTTTAATCAACAAATGAGTAAGCCACCCAGTCAAATTCATCCCAGATACTTCATTACAATTTGTGTCCTTTACTTAAAACCTTTAATACCTTTTTAGAAATGAAGTAATACAGAAATGCTACAATCTGCAAAAAAGTGTAGTCTTAATAGTACAGTAGCACTTTAATATAGTTGTCTGTTATTAGGTATATATAAGTGGAAGAAGACAGCTGGTATGTTTGTTCAGAATCACAGGGTTGCTGGACTTTTAAAATACCATATTACTGCGCTATTGTGATCTTTTCAAAAGGCTGAATTAAAATAAAGCAAACCCTAAGCCCTTTCTGGCTTGAAAACACTTTCTAACAGCTCTTAACTTCCTCCCAGTTCTCAGACTTTCCATTTCTTACCTTGTCTGGCAAGTCAATATTTATTTATCTTCAATATGTGCACTTTTAAATTGCTGTCATACAAACGGAACTCATTTTTGTCCCAAGATCAGCCTGCCATTAGAATTCACTGTTTGCTCCATCTTCTACTCACCTGTCCTTGTGCATTAGTGACGAGTTGACCTGTGACCCCCTGAAGACTGGAGAGGGCATTGCCAAAGGCCTGGGAGCTTGCTATTGAGCCCATGGCTGCTGCTGCTGCAGCCGCTGCTGCTTGACTGGCTAGTGGATTATTAACCAGCTGAAAAAAGAAAGAGAAGATCATGGTAAACTCCCCGACAAACACAGAAACACAGAGTGCTAACTGGATAACACAAAAGTGATGGTGCTAACGTGGGTAAAAAACTGTCTACTCCAAGAGATTGAGTAGTTTTGAGAGGTTCTTATTTCTGAGACTTTAGTGTCTTTGACAATGAATGGTTTTTAAAAAGCCAGAGGAAATTCAATGTTAATGTTGAAGAATAAAACTCTTTTTTTACCCTTTATTCTCTCTTGGTTTTTTTTTTTGAGTTATGCTTGATGTGTTTCTTTAGGTTCAATGTGTTAATGCCGCAGGTCTAACAGCCTAATCCTGCTGCAAACAGCAATCAGTGAAAGATTAGCATTTGATTTGAATGGCAGTGGGATATTTACTTGGGGATATTCAGAACAGAGACTATTTTACTAATGACCCCAGAAATGAGAAAACCCTGCAGATCCTTTTATTTTATATCATTAAAGAACTGGTCTCAACATCTAGATAAATCACAGCAGAGGACTCAACCCTGTGATTAAGTTCAGTAGAAACTGATTAAAAATTCAAAATTAATTTACAAAATATGATACTAAGCAACTTACTGCTTCTCAACTGCAAATGATTAATTGAAGGATTCATAAATTTTCAGGAAGTGAGTTGTACTGCCCACTTCAGTCAGTTCTACCTGTGTGCTCCACATAAAGCATAGAGCACAGTCATGGCTTTCACCTTAGGAGACTATGGGAATCCCACAAAGGAACACTCCTATTAACACTTGGGTTTATCCAACATACAAAAATGTGTGTTTCTCTGTCAGAATCAAATGTCCTCCAGGAGTTGGCTTGTTCACTGGATTAATGTGAGGTTTATATTTTCTCATCCTTTTCTAAGAATGGACAAACTTTGAACCAAGCACACAGGGATAACAGTTAAAAAAAAAATAAAAAAAAATGCTGGGAACCATCATCACTGGGACAGCTGTCCTGAGAGCAATCGAAAAACCTGAGTTCAACAGGCTGAAAATGTATTTTAGAGTGGGTTTTCCCCCTAAGAATCATAGCGTTTTAGCAGAGCTTGCAAAATGCACATTAGCAGGGTAAAGTAGCCAGAAGTTTGAGGGAGAAAAAAGTCTGGGGACAGCAAAGACATTTTTTCTTAGGCTGAGATGAAAATGCTGATGCTAACTCAGAAAAGCTTAATGTTTGAGCTGAAATTAGTAGGAGTTCTAAGTCCTTAGATGACAAGTAAATTATCAATCCTATAGAAATGGAGAGTCACAGACACCAGTAAGGGATGTACTCCACAGACAGGCTCTGCTTCAAAATAGGTTATAAAAAATTAATCAGTGATTAGTAGATGTTTTAAGCATGTTACAGATATAAGTAGTGTGTATGTTATAGATGTTTAGAAGCACATCAGTAGAAGATGTCAGATATGGTTATAATCTATGCTTATAAGAAACCTACTCGTCTGTTGGACGTTGCGAAATCTACAACAATTGATTGGTCATACATTAAAACATGTATTAATCATTCATTAGCCCTTCATGAAGTATTGATAAATGGAACCTTGATATAAAGTGTTGCCTAAAGGGGTGCCTTGGGCACATCCAATCCCTCTAGAAATTGTAAAGTAAATAACTAAATAAAGATCGGTAGCAATGCTGGACAGAAGAGATTACTTTTTTGGAGGAAATATTTTGATTTGGAAAAAACTGTTACATGAATCTCCAAAACCAGTCCGTGGCATCCCATGGCAAGAAAATCAAGCAGGAATAAAACACAAAGGGGGAAACTGCAATGACTGCTTGATTAGGAGTCCTGATGAGATGTGAAGTGAGCAGAGATGGGCACAATGACCGAAGCGAAGCTCGGTCCCTGAATGCAGAGTGCAAGCAATTCCACTGACTGCACAAGGTGTGAGCCCAAATGTAGTTCCACGCACTCCTCAGTGACTTAGGTGGTGGTGCCTGAGCATGGCAGTACAATGCCAGATAACAATATAGATAAACTTGTCTGTTTTCTGCTCAAAACAGTGACATTTCTTTATTGTCCAGAGCAGAAGTTGGTAAACCCTGCCTTCCGCTACAGCACTTCATGGGCAGCGCTGGGACTTGGAGGAATTCCCTTGTAGCTGTAAATATTTGGGGAAGAAAGGGGCAGCAGCAAAAGTGTAACACTTTCAGAAAAGGCCTTCTACAATCTTATTAGGAACCCATAAATTACTGCACCTATGATCCTACAGCATCTGACTGCAGGTATAAATGATAATCTTTGCACGGTTACCTAACATCAGCTAATAAACTACACTAGCTGCTATAGTTTACGGCTTCTGTCACATATAGGAACAGTTACTTGGGGAGCATAAGTAAGCTTGTAAATCTGGAAACTACAAAGGGTTAAAACCTTCTAAAAATCAGACTATCATCTCCTAGAATCTCCTTTCCATTTTTCTTGCTCCACTTTTCAAAAACTGTACATTTTCAAATACAACAATAAAATTTAATTACAACAAACCCTGGAGACACTCAGGATTGCTTTTAGTTGCATCACAGAGATAAGCTACTTATTAAAAATGATGGCAGAGCCTATGATATGCATAGGTACCCTGGATAGTACCATGTTCCAGGAAAAATCATAGTGAATGGGCCAACTCACAGGGTAACAGACTTCCAAGTGCATATAAAAACATCCCTATCTATTCATAAGTCTGATTAAAAATGAGAAGATGCATTTTCCTTTGAGTGCTTTGGGAAGCTGTTGACTGCAGGTTACACTCTGTTAAATTGTCCCCTTTTGTATCATGTGGAAATTGGGGATAGAGAAACACACCTCATTTCATTATGTGTAGACACCAAGGTAACTTCTAACACATTATACCTTGCTTTTATTTAAAAAATAAAATCTCTGACTTCAGAGGTTTATGCCATTTCCCACTGCAGGCTGGATCCCTGAGAACACTTACTGGAAATATTAGAAATATATTATGAAAGAGCCCACAAAGACTTCTTCCCATTTTGTTTCTGTATTTAAATAATGATTTAATTTGTGAGGCAGAGACATTTGGAGCTGTCAGTTCCAGTGCTCAAATTTCTGCTGCCACTCAAAACACCAGCCATAACAACAGGTAGTAGCAGCCAGCCCTCTCAAGGATGCCTCCGCTAATGACATGATTATATGGGGAAGCAAACTTCATGAGGAAGAATCTTCTAATAACCGAGTAGCTTCAGTACATTTTTCTGACTTCCCAAAGCAGAACTTTCAAAGGAAAAGCATATGAAAGTTGTTCTGCTCTAACTCAGTGTAAAGCAGGAGCCATTCCACTGCAGCAAGCAGAACTCAAATAAAACTAATGCGTAAAATGATGGGGGATGAAAGAGGCACTACTTATAAGATCCTAAAACTGTGACACGTGAAGTAAGAGTTTCTGGGCTTAAGAAATAGTCTTCAAAAAGAACAATTTCAAGAAAAGTGTGGTAGAGTCAATGCTGCAAGCAGCTTTCTTGAGAGCCGCAGATACTTATATCTTCTGGAAGAATACCCTCTGCCTCTCTTTTTTTCCAAAGCTAACTTGGTATCTCAGTGAATTTGCTGTGAGAAACTGATCAAGCATTCATGTATTGTTGAATACAAGATCAGATTTGATAGCCTACACAGTAATTTTACTTTTCTCTATAAAGGGCATATCCTACTAAATTTTCATTCCCCTGGTGTGGAAATCAAAGAGCCAGTTTTACTCATTACAACATCACTCATTCAAAAACAATATAAAGAAAAAACCAAACGGTTTGACTGATGAAAAGCCAAGACATTTCAGCATGCCAAGGCATCATATGAAAAAATGTGCCTGCAACCTGAAAGGTAAGGTCACTTTATGTAGTGCCAGTATAAGAATAAAGTTATATCTTGTGTGTTTTCTAAAGGACTTGTGGGAGAGGCTAAGAGTGAAGATACACTATCTGAATGCAGCAATGGAGAATGGAGGGACATATTGTGGACTAACAGCAGGCATAACTTCATTTTACAAAATAGTATCAGTGTTTTTCACAAGGCTGTTAAAAAATCACATTTCTGGATATCTCCTAGAGATTAAATTAGTGTAGAAAAGCAGTATATTTGATTAGGGACTAACAGATTGTCCTGGTTTCAGCTAGGATAGAGTTAATTGTCTTCCTAGTAGCTGGTACAGTGCTATGTTTTGAGTTCAGTATGAGAAGAATGTTGATAACACTGATGTTTTCAGTTGTTGCTAAGTAGTGTTTAGACTATAGTCAAGGATTTTTCAGCTTCTCATCCCCAGCCAGCGACAAGGCTGGAGGGGCACAAGGAGTTGGGAGGGGACACAGCCAGGGCAGCTGACCCAAACTGGCCACGGGGGGCCACATCTAGTGTACAAACTGGGGGGAGTGGGGGCGGGGGATCGCTGCTTGGGGACTAGCTGGGTGTTGGTCTGCGGGTGGTGAGCAATTGCCCTGTGCATCGTTTGTACGTTCCAATCCTTTCATTATTGCTGTTGTCATTTTATTAGTGTTATCGTTATCATTATTAGTTTCTCTTTTCTGTTCTATTAAACCGTTCTTATCTCAACCCATGGGTTTTACTTCTTTTCCTGATTTTCTCCCCCATCCCACTGGATGGGGGGGAGCGAGTAAGCAGCTGCGTGGTGCTTAGTTGCTGGCTGGGGGTAAACCACGACACAGATCCTGTCTCTTATGCTCTCAGACAACCCATTCTGTAGGGAGCATCACACCACTAGGTCAGCTACTGATCAGCTACTCAGAATGTTTGCCTAAACCAATGCTTTTCAAGGGAAAACAGAAAAATCTGTTTATTTAAATAACTCTAAAATTTGAGAAGAATTCAGCAATGGCTCTCAATCAGAAACACGTGACATTTTTCTATCCAGACTATGTGAAAAATGATCGTAGAAATGAAATTTTTATTAGCATGGCATTTGCTTTCGTAGGAATTTTTAACTAAGAATCTATGTGAATTTTATCTGTGTTT